GTGTTACAATAATAATAATAATAATAATAATAATAATAATAATAAGCGTGCGTTGAAATTCTACACAACCAGACGCAGGAACTCACAAAATGGCAATGTACAACTGATATTAAAATTTTCTGACTTGGAACAATCTTTAGTAGCTGCTAAGCTATAAATGGAGGTAAAAGGTTACAGTTTGTGAATGTACTACAACTACACACGGCCTAGTTTCCAACTTCCAAGGCAAGTTAATTTTCATTTACACACGAGGAATCAACTTTCCTTCACCCAAAGTTTACAGTAATATTGTCATGCATTTAACTTCTTAATTTCATTCTACTTGCCATTCCCTCGTTGAACTTCCAGTACAACAAGTACAAGCTCTTTTTTCTTGTTATTCAGAGAGTTGAGTCTGCAGAAAGAATGCAATAGTCACATTAAGAACATACTTGTTTATAAGAAACAGCAAACTGCTCTTTACACGCATTATCACATTGCAAAGACATATGGTAAGTCAAAAAAACTACCGAAAGGTCAGGACAACCGAAAATCCAACTATCTGTCAGAGTTATTTAGGACTTGAGAATTGTGTATTTAGTGATAGAACAATCGCTACAATACAAAACAAATGCAAACGGGATGCTAGCAATTATTGAAGAATGATGTTTTCCATATTCTCTGAAACCTAGACATGGTTCACCCACGGAACATTCAAGCAGCATTCATCTCATTTCCCCTAAAATGTGAACTATCACAAATATGTTGACCTTCATGAAGTAAAACAATCTCCAAAGCATGAGAGAGAGAGAGAGACTATCTTCGAATTTTTCCTTGGGTTTACTCAAGTGACTGTTTTTTGCATGGTCTTAAATAAATTATATTGATAGATGTTCTGGGCAAATCATGTCTTGAGAAAATTGATTATTGCAGCTTCTACCTTGAAGCTTGGCACCTCTCTACCACAGCAATCAAACTTAAAACACAAGGTTCCATAAATAAAGATACCCACAACTAACAGAGGCCAGACGAGTACAAAACAAGCATTAATACTTCAATCATGGGTCATTGGAATGGGAATACTACTAGGAATCAACAGAAGCTGGGGGTCTGTAGAATATGGGAATGGATAGCATATATCTACTTCATAATAGGTAAACAGATGAGACACATTCGTCCAAATCTCAAACCTCACACAAGTTTAGTTGCCTCCACAAAATATACATAAAATAGTAACGCAATTTCTCTCCAATTAAAAACATTCCAGGTCGTGGTATTGTTACTAAAAAAAAAAAAAAAGTTAATAAAGAGAACATCAAGGGGAAAATTGGACGACCATTAGAAAATGAGACTTCAAAAGTGCTACCCCATTTACACAGAGAGAGAGTTTATGACAGTACATCACTGCACAAACTACAACGTATATCAAGTTCGGGAAAGATCAATACAATCATAACACTTGTTTCATATGAAGACCCAATTTTCGGATATGATATTACACAGAAGAAGCAAAAACTATGACAAGTGCAAAAGTGGGAAAATTGCCAAGAAATTAAAAAAAAAAATAGTAAAAATAATAAAAAATAACAAAATAAAACCATTTTTTTCAGCTACAGTTGATATATCTCAATAAATTATGGTTCTCAAATATATGACAACATGTGGCCAAACAATGCAAGATAATGTACTTTTTGAAGGCATCAACAAAAATATAGAGTTTTTTTATTTTTCAAAAAAATGGAAAAGAAGAAGGGAAACAGAAAGCAGAAGCTCACCTGGATAGTAAGCTCAAAACTGAACTTCCCTCCAAATATCATGGCATGGGAAAACTCTTTGTCGTGTTTGGATAGTTTAACCCTTTTTTCCCAATTCCACATATGTGAACTCGCATTTCACATTTTGCAACAAGCTCAAAGATGCAAATATCTCCCATCTGGATGTCATTATCACGAACAAAAGCCATCCATCCTCCACAGAAAGTATGCAGTGTCTGCACCTTCATAGTGGGGATAGAATTTACGGCCCAGCACTGCCCATTCAGATTACGAAGAATAATCTCCGTTTTGCAGTTAGGCAGATGTTCTGTTGAAAACTGATAAGGAATTTTCTGGATGATGAGAGAGGTAAAACAGAGTGAGCTATCACTCGTCAAACAATAAAATCCAGAAATGTCATAAACACAAACTGGTAACAGATTACAGGGGTACAACCCCGTACAACAGAAGAGAGATGCATCATTTTGTAAAGTTAGTGTCATTAGCTTGGCTCTATAAAACCCCTTTTTAGTTAAACAACACCCCATTTTAGTTACAGACGAACAACACAAAAATGTAGACAAATCTCACTATTCTGCAATAGTATGCTATAGGATTATAATATATAAAGGTTGACTTGGGTGCTTATTTTGACCATGAAGCATTACTATCAAAAAGTCCATGAAGTCCCAAGCCATGTAAATGCAAACCAACATTACATTTTGGCAAGTGTAGATAAAAATGTTCTATCCAGGAAAAAATTAAAAAAAAATAATTGAAAAAAAAAAAGAAAAAAAAAGAACAACGCAAAATAAAATATAAAGAAACTCACAAGGGTGTAAGAACCACTGATATTGAACTTCTTCATAACTCTCACAAAGTGAGGAAAACTTGATACAAAATATTGAGCAGCCATTTTCTCTTCAGGTACTGACTTCATAGACATACAGCCTTTAGTTTGAGAACCTTGTTTGTCAAAAGAACCAAATCTTTGAGCCCCTGTTTAATTAATGTGGAATAAAAAATGTCTGTTTAAAGGGCGAAAAGGCACAGGAACACGTTACCACAGAACTGAGAACTATAATACCTGATTCCACAATGCAATTATTTGATTGAGAGGCCAGAGCAGAACTCTTATTGACACTTCCACTTATGTTCTTCAGTTTGCGTTTGGAAGTTTTAATATTTGCAGAACCATTGTTATTCCCTCCATTAGCTGCCTCACCATCCTGAATATCTACTCCACCTTTTCCTACTCTAATAATTCTCACTTGCAGCTCACACGTGCTCACGAGCTCAAAAATACATATATCACCAATATCAATGCTATTATCACGAACAAAGCTCAACCAGCCACCACAGAAAGTATGTGATGTTTGGACTCTTGTAGTAGGAATTGAATTTACTGTCCAACAATCTCCTTTTAAATTACGAAGCACGATCCTCACTTTGCACTTGGGGAGGTGTTCTGTCGCAAACTGATAAGGTACGTTCTGAATGAAAAAAATAAATCAGAAACTATGCATGAAATGGTTAATAGCTCCAAACGGAACAGAGTCATATCAAACTCACATTTGGAGAGAACCATGAACATTGAGTGTGCAACTGTATAGCATCCACACTAAGAAAAGAAACTTTCACAATAATGAAAATATTTACCAGAGTATAAGAACCACTTATGTTGAATCTTTTCATGACTTTTAAAAAGTTTGGGAAAGAAGATCGAAATGATCGGGCTATTCTGTCAGCTTCTGCTGCTGACAACAGCATATTGGCTCTACTCCTGACATATGAATCTGCATATAAAATTCAAAGGAAAAAATAAATTTCAAGATATATAAAAATTATAAAATAGTTGAAATGTTGGGAGAAAAATGTATAGGCATATCCAAATCGCAACAAAAGGTGGGTTGATTTCATATCTGCCTTTATAGTACCAATTTCTCAAATCCTAGGGTGAAATTGTCTACAAATTTGATATTATCTTTTTTCTTGTATAGAAAATAGAATTTGTCGCGCATAGCCAAATATCAGCTTCCATCACAATTTCCGAGTATTACCGACAGTACATGAAAATAATTAAACATAACTCGATAAATGTACAAACTCATTACTGAAACACCATGGGTTATCAACATTACCAGGGTTCTCATGAGGAATTGCAGTAAGAGGAAAAGCAATTGTAACATCATTTTCTAAGTTAATATTTTCATCCTCTTGCCGCATCCATTCTTTTGCATTATTGACTGCATTCGTGCCATTTACATGATCAGTGCAAGTGCTCTTGCATTGCATTTGAGAGCATCTCATTTTCTTTGGAACACCTTCAACGGGGCGATCTAAGACTTCTGGTCTTTCCCTTTCCCTTTTCTTCATAAAATCAATGCCACATTTACTTAAATCCTGGCTGCTTACAGCAGTAAATGCGGTTTCCTTCTCGCACATACTCTGATCAAAAATTTGTACCGCAAACTGCAAGTCCCCATCATATCTAAAAACAATAGCATCACCCTGTTCAAGAAAGTGATCTCTAACAAAATCGGCCCACCCGTCACTGAAGAATAAATCATTTTCGACCAGAATTGTGTCAATGTACCAACTACTCCCACTAGGACCGATTAAAACTGCTGTACCTGGTGCGCTTCCAACCATATATTTTACGAAGTTACATGGAATATTCTGAAGGAGCAAAAATGAAAATTTAAAACATACACTAGCCGTGTCAATACGATGCAGCAGATCAAGGTGAATTAAAAACTCAGATAAGCTAGAATACAAATAGAACAGTAAATTATTTATAACCATAAAACAATGATGATGTCTTGAAGGAATAGGTATTTGATTGTCACTCAAGTTTACAGGAAATTATTTATTTTCACTCTTAGAATATGACCCAGTGCAATCTGTGCTCCATTAACGGATGTTAACCTAGTATGCAAATTATGTCCAACTCCATTTGTATCCAGCTTTTTTGTGTCTACCTATCATGGAAGAATAGACATGAAAAGAACATAAAAACAATTCTCAATTTCTAAAGGACCCCCGAAACTGACACATAAAATGGAACACCACATCAAACGTGCATCAATAAATTATCAATAACTTTCAAGATAAATTTCTGAAAGCAAAGTTGAACCAGATTGCATCGTAACCGATATTTGCAATTACAATAATATACGAAGGTCGAATTGTGCAGTTGCACAGTAGCTAAGCAAGCACGTCCCCTTTTAAAACATAATGGAAGAGAGGAACCAATTACCAGCCTCTCAGAGCATAGAGATGGATCGAAACCCAGAAGAAAGTGAGGTCTTCTCGTATTCAACATCTCTCTCTCTCTCTCTCTCTCTCTCTCTCTCTCTCTCTCTCTCTCTCCCTCTCTGTGTGTGTGTGAAAAACCCAGAAAAATAAATAAATTAGAAAATTAAGGGTGTGATTGTATATAGTTCAATAGTAAAAAGCTCAATTCAGACTCAAATTTAACTCAATTTTAACTCAATCCCATTATCATCAATATTATCAATATAATTAAATAATATCAACCAATCATTCTTATGCATCACATCAATTTTAATCCACTATTCATCCACTCACATAATTCTAATTAACTATTACATCCAATCATTTTTTTCTTACTTTACAATAAATCAACTTTAATTATTTTATTTAAATATTATTTTAATATATTCACTAACAACTAATCATACCACTTTTTTTCAAAATTAACTATAGTAAAAAATAAATCAAATAAAACTTAATCCAATCCATAACAATCGCCCCCTAAATAATTTTGTAAATCGAAAAATCCACAGGCAGGTGTGACCGAGTGATTTTTTTATTTTTATTTTTTTCATCCCAAATGTGTGACCAAGTGATTTTTTTTTTTTTTCTGAAACGATATTATATAAGCTCAAAGAAATAGAGTGTTCATACAATGGGATCACACAAGATTACAATCCAATTGGATCGATGGCAAACTCCAACATGAGTTGCCTAGAAACAATACAACAAAAATACTACACAAAGCAAGGAAGTAATAGCCGCAAGGCATAGCGAGAGCTATCACTTTATATAAAATGACAAATACTATTACTATATACTTTTTTTCTGACCAAGTGATTGAAAACAATAAAATGACAAATACTATTACTATATATATATATATATATTTTCATTTTCAACTAGTACTCGGAATATATTATTTTAAAATCCAAAGTTGATAATGGTCGAGGATAAGTGTTTTCAACTGGGCTGGGACACATCTGGTTATTATATAAGCAACCTTACTATGAATCAAATATATAAATAACATTAGTCGTACTCTCTCCGACCGAAATTCGTTGTGAAATTTATGGGCTTTCGGTAGGAGGAGGCCTGGCTTGCCCAGGTTTACTTAGGCCTCGTTTGCAGATTGCAGTTTTTAGATCTAGGTTGAGTCGGGTTCATTTCTCCTATTGAGTCCGTTCGTGTGCGTGGCTTGGTTGTCTACTGTAACGCCCCAAAGATTTTTAAGACAATTCAGGACTTATCCAAAAATCTCGTTTTAAAATTTCAAAACACCATTTATCGATTTATAAAACATTTAGCGCTACTCAAAAACCATTTCATAATTTCCACACATAATCAACAAAAGAACGAGAAATACCAACGTCAATTTCGAGTTCAAGACTAGATTTCAACATATCCAGTCAACATGATTTTTCATCCATCAGTTCAACAATTCCCAAAAAATAAATAGGGAGAAATAACAATTAAATGACATAGTTCAACAACGTCTAATAAAGTAACGCAACAACGGAAAGCAATAATAATAAGTAGTGACCACACTCACGACCCGCCACTCGTCTCCTCCTCGTCATGCCACCTGCTCAACCTGGGAAGAAAAAGTGGGGATGAGCACAATATGGAATTCGTGGTGGTCACCACTATGCACATAATATTAATATGATAACTATACCAGGGTCATATGCATGTTCATAGTCAATCGACATAACACACCACACTCCTACTCATCACTATACTCATGTGCACACCTATCAAAAGTCGCAAGGGGTAAAACTCAAACTCGTCAGCGAGAGTACAGTCGTTCGAGGTTCGACATCAACAGTCACGACCCATCAACTAGGCTAAAATGAGTCTACCTATCATAAGGTCGGAGATCGCCTTCCACTAGGCACCGTCTCATGACTCACATACAATCATGGAACGTAGCATAGAAATCTTACTGCAATTATGGCATAACAATTTTTCTTAAATAAAACCCACCTGGGTGACGAGCAAATAATAAAGATTCAGAAGCAGGAAGTAGGTCGAGACCTTGACTCGCCAAACACCTACATTAAATTAGGAATTTCTATCATCATACTATCCCAACACTTAGAACAAATAACGAATAATTATACTTAGTCTAACATTATCGAATAAGTCGCTCGTGAAGTTTTGTGGAAGTTAGAACACTTGGTTTTAAAAACTAGACTCAGAAAAAGCACAATCGGGTTCACTCGAACCGGCACGGGGCATTCATATGAAACTTAAACCACAAATAAAAAAAACTCAAGGAGAGACTAGAATACAGAACATTGACCTCTAAATCAATTCTTAACTTAGTAAACCAAATTTTGTAAAGTACACGGTAAAACCCTAGATTTTTAGTTCACAAGGCTAGGTTCGAATTTAACTTTGAAATTTTTACCACATGACCAACACATTGAAACAAGGCAAAACCCAGAAGATCAATTCCAAAATCCCAAATTCATATTTGAAAATGATTTTTCAAACATTAATGGCAAATCAAACAAAAATCGATTCACATAGCTACAGGGGGAGAATAAGACCTGAAATTTTAATCACATAATAGCGACTCAAAAAATACATCAATCCACCAGAGGTTGACCCTCAACAAAAACTCTAACCTGTTCAAACAATTTTTTGCAAAAACGAGGGCAAAATGAACGTTTTCTGGTTTAATATGCTACAAGACGAATTTTCATTTGAAATTTTTACAGCATGCTAGACATCCCAAAATAACCAGGACATAAAAATTTGAGATAAAAAGGCCGAGTAGATATTTTCATATTATTTTTCCAAGAAACAGGGCAATTCCTCCATATCTTAGTTCAGGTACCTAAGCTTCGAATTAAATTCTGAAATTTTAACATCATGCTCAACATGACAAAATACTCATAACCTCATAAAATCACATAATTTGGACGTGTTGATTTTATAATATCAATTTTCAAAGATTTAAGGCATAAATCACATAATTCAGTTCACATAGCTATAGACCGAGATAAATCACGAAATGTAACACAATACCCCTATACATAGCAGGAGACGACCCTCCAAATTTCAGCCAAAAAGGATGAGGGATCGATTTATAATAATTTTACAAAGTTTCAGCAGCATGATCGGTTTCAAAAATTCATACAAGTCACAATACTCGATGAAATCGACCAAAACCTTTCATATCAGGTCATGGACGATCCCATATTCCACTAGGCTTTCACGAAAATAGGCGAGATTCATCAAGGTTTTCAATCAAACCGAAGGATCTCAACACAAATACAATAATTCAATCGAAAACATATCAAAATTCAAAGTATCTCCTCAAGTCCAATCATAACACATATAATGGAAGGGGTTCAACCGACAATTACCAAACACCAAAGGGGAGAAGATGCGAAAAGATAGCAAGGAGGTTGAAATGGGGCTACCGGGCGCGCGTTCACGACTCGACGGTGTTGCTCAGCTTGAAGGGTTTGGGGCTATTTTTAGTATTTTCCTCCAAACTTTTTTTGCTTGTTTGAGAAGGTATTAAGAGATGATGAAATCGGAATTTTCTAAGTGTATATGAGTGGTAATGCGTGTGTGAAGTGAGGAAGAAGAAGGGAAAATCCTCTCTTAAAGTCAAGGCAACTAAGAGGATTCTTCATGCCAAATTTAAGAGCATTAAAGAGCTGATTAATGGGAGTTAGAACATGTTGAATGGAGGGTGTAAGGCTGGTCCCAGAGTTTCCATCTATATAACAAATTATTTGAATTCTAAAGGTGAAAAATGAGCTAGAAATTTTCTAAGGTAAAAAGTGGTGCACAAGAGTTCACAAGGCCGGTTTTTAGAGTATTTAGTCGGGTTTTAGGGGCTCCAACTGGACCGAAATGGACATCAAAGGGTCAAAGTTAATATTATTCAAGGTTCGGGCTGAAACATTCGAAAACAGATCGAAACGGATTTAAATACGGTTTACACGATTAAATAAAAAATCGCCGAAATAATTTAAAATTCAAACCGAATAAATCCTAATAAATTCTAATACATATAAATAATAAGTAATAATATAATATTCAAATAAATAAGGCATTTAATCAATTATGAGCAAATCAATTATAACATAAAAATTTAGAAAATCTCGTAATCGAACGGGGCACTACAGTCACCCACCTTAAAAGGGATTCCGTCCTCGGAATTCGAAAACAAAACAACTAAAAAGCGATAAAATACAAAAGGGAATCAAAACATAAAGTTTGGATATCTCCTCCTAATATCGGACTCAGTCTCCCAAGTCACCTCAGACTCGTCGTGTCGGCTCCACTGCACCTTGACGAGACTCACTGCCCGGTTCCTCAGCTGATGAACTTTTTTGTCCAGTACGGCCACCGCTACCTCCTCATAGATAAGGTCTCGC